CAAGTTTCTGACTCAGAGTGAGAGAGTGAAGTCTGTCAGTGTTGGAGGGACTGTGTCCATCAGCTCCACAGGAAGTTCAGATATTGGTTCTGATCTCAGTTGGTACCTTCAGAAACCTGGACAGCCTCCCAAACTTCTTATATACAGAGTTTCAAATCTGTTCTCAGGAACTCCATCCAGGTTCAGTGGCAGCAGATCTGATTCTCACTACACTTTAACCATCAGTGGGTTTCAGGCTGAAGATGTTGGAGATTATTACTGTTTGGGTTATCATAGTGATGCAACGTTCACACAGTGATTTAGAGTCGTACAAAAACCTCCTTCTGTCAGACTGAAAGCTGCAGCTGCAGAGAGTTGATGAAGAAACTCTGAAGTTCAATAAACACAAGAGTCATCAAACAGAAACACTGAAAACCTGAATATGAAGTTACAAATCTCCTTTTATTCAACACTTCTGTCCTAAATATCAATAAATCCTGAAAATAAATATAGGATCATGGCCAGAGCTTATTTAAGACACATTTTAACCTAATTTAATAAATAAAAAGACAAAACAAAAACAGAAACAACATTGAAGATAAACAACAGGTTTAAAATTGTGATGTTTCAACTGAGTTGGATGGTTTTTAATATTTTACATTCAACTCTACAAGATTTATTTTCATTTTTTGTGATCAGCTTTTAAAAACATTTCTTAAAACTAATGATTTCTTAAAAGGTTTTTCTCTAAACATCATGATTTAGTACTCAGACTGAACATCCTTTATACACTAAAAAACCTTTATCTGAGTAAAAACGAATAGTTTGCACTTTATTTATAGAATTGTTTATCTGGATGTAACTTTGATTTTCGTCATGATTTTAAAACATTTTTGGCAAATTTTCATAAAAAAATCGAGTGAAATTTAAAAGCTGCAGAAATGAGTTACAAAATGTTTAATTTGAAAAAATAGAAACTCTTCAACAATTAATAATTTGTTAAACGAAAAAGAGCAACACTGTCATTTTGATCAAACTGCTAAAATAAGAATATTTATTTATTTATTTATTTATTTATT